CCGAACTGAGATACACCCCACATTCCAAAAACTCAGTATATAACACATTTTGACATACATACATATACATATATATGTATCATTAGTACTTTATCATTTTAGATACAATTAAAGGAAACATTATGAAAAATAAGTTCATTCATTTCCTTTCCTATTTCTTCATGTGACTAATTTAAAAAATGTTAGCTGTGTCTGCAGCTCCCTCTATTTTTGTATTAGACAGTGCTGTTCTGTTGATTTGCAGCATCCAGGGGAGGCTGATGTGGAAGTTACAAGCCCATGGGTAGTGGTGACATTACTAGTCAGCATGAGGTGCCAGGAGCCCAAAGGAGAAGTACTTAGCCAGACTGAGGGCCAAGGTTGGGAGGCCCAAAGCAAGTACCTGGATAAGCTCACTTCTAAATCAGTGCCCCAGAAGATAAATACTAAGTAGCTCTGGGACCAGGGGTTCCAGGAAGGGTACCGGGACATACAGAGACACAAGGGCCCAGTGAGCTTCAGAGACATCTCAAGTAGGAGTAGGGGATGTGAGAGTTGGAAGGAAGGCGGCAGACCTCAGCTCCGCACTGTCTAGTCCAGAGCCGCCCAGAGCAGTGACAGTGTGAACCACGTGCAGTTTTAAATTTTCTAGTAGCCACCTTCAGAAAAGCACAAAAAAATTAACTTCGATATATTTTATTTAACCGATATGTTCAAAATCTTACTTCCGTATTTACTCATGTTGACAATTCTTACTGAGATCTCCTGTCTCTGTTATGATTATGAGGTTTCTGATATCTGGCCTACATGGTACCCATAGCAATTGGTCCTCAGCACTTGTCAAGTGCTCAGTTCCTCGTGTGACCAGTGGACACTGGATTAGGCAATGCAGGTCTACTAGGCTTTTCTCTTGAATGTAAGCAGAAAGGTGCTTTAGAAAATTCTGTCTAGCATCTGCAAGGGAGACAAGTCTCCCGGTGTCCTACTGAGCTTTCTGGAGCCTGTCACTCTCATGTCTGGGTGATGTCACCCGCCAAGGTCCACCAAGGTACTGTTTGCAAATTGGTGACTGGAAAGCAGTCTGTTTGCAGAGCTTCCCCTGCCAGAGAGCAGTGTTGGGGTGCAGCCAGCAGAGTCCTGTCCTGGGTTTTGTCCAGTCCAGAAAGGGGGAAGCCGCTCTCTCACATCCCACCACCTTCCAGATGACGGCCAGAGGCAGACCCCTGGGGTGTTTCATCTTTTCTCATCTATAAAACACTGATGCAGGTACTCACCTAAGGGCTTGGTGTGTGGATAAAAACTAAGTAACATACAGACATGCCACACACTGCGCCCCATAGAGAATGGATCGCAAATGATTGTTCTTTCCATCCAAGTTATCGTTGGAAGATGGAGTCCTCACAGTGTGACTGGGATCTCACTAATTAAGGGATCACTTGGAAATGCTCCTAGCCCTTGATCCCCTTCCCACATAAGAAACTTCAAGGAGTCAATTCATTTCAGAGAGAAGCATCCAAAAATATGCAGATTAGAGGCGGCCAGGCAAGAGGCTTTTTTTCTCCCCCACCTAGCATCATGATAAGCTTTTACTGGTGAGAAAAAGCTTCGTTTCCCTGGGCTCCATCCTATTAGAAAAACAGCTTAAAAATTGCTCCTAATCTCCCCGGAGTCTCCAGGTGCTTAATGACTTGCCACAGTGATAAACAACTGAATTCTGGGAGCCATTAAGGGAGACATTATCTACCTCTTTCCTTTGCCTTTGAGAATCAAATGAAGCTGCTTAGTCTGGGTGGAATTGGGGGAAAGCATTGGTTTTGAAGTTCAGCCAATCTACTTAGAACCACAGTTCTGTCCCCAGTAGCAGGTTTGCTTCTATTTGGGGGCAGTTTGCTTTATATATATATATTTTATATATTATATATATTATACATTAT